TTGGTCCAGTAGCTCCGAGGAGCAGCCACGCTACTGGACCAAGCCAGCAGCACCCGAGCTGCTCTGCCCCAGGCGTCCCAAAGTCAGCCACTGCTGAAACTGACCAGCGGCTGACTACAGGAAACCCGAGGCAGGGTTGCTCTGCCCTGGGCTTCCTGGAATCAGTTGCTGATCAGTTTCAGCAGCAGCTGACTTGGGGATGCCTGGTGTTCTTACCTTGAATCTGTATGTAAGTGGAACTGGTGTCCAGATTCAGCAGCTGTTGAAACTGATCAGTTTCAGCAGCGGCTGATGCCAGTTCTGACTTACATACAGATTCAACTTAAGAACAAACCTACAGTCCCTATCTTGTACGTAACCCGGGGACTGCCTGTAATTATCTTGATTTTGAAATGAAAGTAGTAATTGAGCTTCTTTATATTCTTAACATCTTTAATTGTTTCAATTCAACAGATTAATCTTGGCATTTTGTAGACTAAAAGCCACCATCTATTATGACAGGTGCAAATTAGCTATCTATAAATATCAACACCTAGAAATAAGGCAGCAACATTACCAACAGTTCTTTAATTGTACTTATTTAAATGGAAGTTAATGGAGCTGTGTCAATTTATACCATCCAAAAATTTATCTCATATTATGGAATTTTGTAAAACTATAAAAATACCAAGTGTACAATAAATAGTGAACTAACTATTGGAACAAAATGAAAATTCTCCATTAGATCAAAAGATAGTTGTCTTGGATATCTCTCCTTAGATTACATCCTTCTGCATGGATTCCATTGTTTGAGAACAAATAACTGTTCTTTAGTAATGTTGGGCTGCTGAGTTCAAGAATTATATCCATTTTTGCCCATGACATACAGATTTTCTGAAAACTGGAGTCTACTTTTACAAAAATGCTATTAGACTTCCAATAATTCAGCACCTTTGGGACCTAGGTGGTGCCGGATTATCAGATATGCTGGAGTATCGAAAGGTCCTGGTACAGCTGCATGGTTTAACAGCTGACCGGGACACAATCTCCCTCCCTCTCCCCTTCGCTTCTACTCCATGCTGTAACCTGATCCTCCTCCCCCCTCCACTCTCCTTTCCTCTTCGTGTAGAATAGTGATAGAAATGTAGCCGTGTTAGTCTGGTGTAGCTTAAACAAAATACAGGACTATGTAGCACTTTAAAGACTAACAAGATGGTTTATTAGATGATGAGCTTTCATGGGCCAGACCCACTTCCTCAGATCAAATAGTGGAAGAAAATAATCACAACCATATATACCAAAGGATACAATTAAAAAAAATGAACACATATGAAAAGGACAAATCACATTTCA